AAGGTAAGTATAAAAGAATTTCAAGTTCGTTTCAAAAGCCGTGGAGATGGGATTCGTGGATCACTCCCACTATAAGCTGAACAAATAGTGTTTATTATGCTGTGCTTTTGGGGCAATAATGCATCGAAAGCGTCACATTCATTGAGTAAATCGTAATAGGCCTTTATTTCTAATACTGTAGACGAAAGAAAATAATCCGTGCTTTAGCACATCACTGAGCTGTTGCGCCCAGGATTCTATCCTACTTTTGGAATATCTATAACATAAGAGCAAGAACTCATCAGTTTCAGCTAATATAAAAAAGTGTTTCAATGACTGACGTTCGTGACGGCAAAGGTTATGATCAAATTTCCAGTATATTAGATAGTACCTTTATTCAGAGTCGGATGAGGCTGATAAATAAAGCCCTTCACTACACACTTTTAATCTCAATGAAGGCTATATTTGAAATTACAGAATACGTCGGTAATTAAGCATAATTATCTATAAATTTTCTTACGTATAAGTGTATTCATCTACTTCAAACAGGTCAAAGGCCATCGCTTGGAAGGTTAGCTCGTGAAGAAGGGGTGATATTGGGTCGAAACCGCGATCGAGAAGGAGTATGATGCTTCTATCTTTGTGGGGTCCCTAATAAGTAAGAAAAATAAAATAGAGCTAAGGACCAAAGTGATTACAAATAAATCATTTTTTTAGCGAAAAACTGTTCCGCAAAGTACTAAGTAGGAGAGCACAGCTTAATAGGAATGCGAATGAAGCACAACCCAGGGCATAGTCAACTATCACCAAATATTAGCTAATGGATGACAATGATCTAAAAGTTACCAAGCTCTGGCCGAATGCTGAGTAATTTAATATCAAGTCTATAATAATGTTTTGCTGGTATCACGCAAACTAAAAACTATTTTTATGGGCCAAAATTAGGGATATATATATTTCCATGCAGGACTCAATATATAAGGGCAAACAAACATTCAAACCTGGCCTATATTCGGGTTATCGCGCTTGAGTAAATCTAATTTGTCCTTGATGAGTTGGGCAATCAGTTGATTAGCTTCTGTCCTGAAAACAAAAGATAATATCACTTATCAAGGGCAGTTCATTTGAATTGAGGCAATTAGCAAAGGGCAAGATTTAAATTCCTTAGTGGTATAGGACTAGTGAGGTTATAAGTATAAACTAACGATTCAAAACCTACAATTTATAACGAACTTGGGGATATTCGCCAAGCATCAAGCAAACATTTGATATCTGTTCTGCAAGTTGATTCAGTTCATAAGCATGCCTGGCAACCGCATTTGCAGTTTTTAAATAATACGCTCTAGAAGAGAGCATCGCATCCACAGTAAAAAGATGTGATTCGATAGGACTAAATGCAGCATTAAGTTGTTTAATCGTCTTGCAAAATCGAAGACATGAAGATTTTCTCAACATATTTAGGCATTCTTCAGAAGCAGCTAAAAACATAAATAAAATTTAATTTGAGATTTAAGGTGATATAAAAATAAAAATTTAGACTAAAATAAACACCCAAAGTTTTGGGCTTGATTATGAACCAGAAACAATTAAGAAGATAAGGTAAATAAATAGGTTTTGTAAACAATAATAAATAATCGAAGGTATGAGGACCAAGAATCTGTGACCTTTTGTGTGGTCGCAGTCTCCTTTACTTG